AGCCCTGGGGCAGCACGGCGGGGCAGGGGGTCTGGGGTGTGCCGGGGGGGGAGAGGGATGCAGGAGAGAGGGATGAAGGGAAGGATGGAGGGATGCAAGAATGGATGGAGGCGTGGAGAGATGGAAGAGCAGATGGAGGGATGCAGGGATGAAGCAGTGGAGGGATGGAGATAGGGAAGAACGGATGGAGGGATGCAGGGATGGAGGGATGGAGAGAGGGATGAGGGAATGCAAAAATGGATGGAGGCATGGAGAGAAGGAAGAACAGATGGAGGGATCCAGGGATGAAACAATGGAGGGACGGAGAGAGGGATGGGGGGATGCAAGAATGGATGGAGGCATGGAGAGATGGAAGAATGGATGGAGGGGTGAAGGGATGAAGCAAGGAGGGATGGAGAGAAGGATGGAGGGATGAAGGGATAGGGGGATTCAAGAATTGATGGAGGCATGGAGAGATGGAAGAACGGATGGAGGGATGCAGGGATGAAGCGATGGAGGGATGGAGAGAGAGATGGAGAGATGAAGGGATGGAAGGATGCAGGGATGAAGCAATAGAGGGATGCAGGGATGGAGGGAGGGATGGAATGGATGGTGGGATGCATTCTGGGATGAAGGGATGGAAGGACACAGGGAGGGCTGGATGAAGGGATGAATGGAGGGATGGAAGGATGGAGGGATGCAGGAATGGGCGGAGGGATGGATGGATGGCTGAATGTCGTGTGGACGGACGGATGGGTGCGTGGGTTGATGGGTGCGTGGGTTGATGGGTGCCTGCCTCACCAGCTGGAGGGGTGGATGAAAGGCTGCGCAGATAGATGGCAGGACAGACGGCAGGACAGATGGATGGATGGATGGATGGATGGGTGGGAGGATGGGTGGGAGGATGGGTGGGAGGATGGGTGGGAGGATGGGTGGGGCGAGGCTTGGCCCGTGCTGAGCCCCAGCTGCCAAGTGCAGCAGGTGCCGGGGCAGCAGCGGGGTTACAGCCCCGATAAGGATCTGTGTTTACTGTATATATTTCATTCCCAGGTCTCCTGTTTACAGCAAACGAGCCCGGGAGGGGCCCGTATTTACCGCAGCAGGTGCCGGGGCAGCAGCGGGGTTACAGCCCCGATAAGGATCTGTGTTTACTGTATATATTTCATTCCCAGGTCTCCTGTTTACAGCAAACGAGCCCGGGAGGGGCCCGTATTTACCCCCCCGCTGGGAAAACACGGCAGCCCGGCGCTGGCCCTCTCCC